GCTGCGTGGAGGAGGAGGCAGGTGGCCCAAGGCGGCCCCCTCCATCGCTGCCGTTATTCCCAAGGAGGCGACAAAGGCCGGACTCCCTCTTCGACTTTCTTGCAACAATTTCATAAAGGCTGATGCAAAGGAATTAAAATGAACTCATTTTAAAGCCTCCGATGTGAGCATTTTTGTTGAGAGGAATTTCTCCTCTCGGATAGTTCTCGCGTAAAATGAAATGTCTCCTTTGAGATTTCTGTGGAGAGAGGCCAGTCTGTGAGCTGGTCAGGACCGCCAGGCCGTCCCCCAGCAGCGGCTCTTCCCAGCAGCGGCGCCGGCCGGGGCGCCTCCAAGCCTCGACTCAACAGCCCTGAGCGCTCCTGCCCGTGCGGGCTCTGAAGGCGCGCAGCCTCGAGGACACGGCTCTCCGCCGGCACACCCGCAACGGCCTCACGCAGGCCCCCCCCACCCCTGCCTCCAGTCTCCCTGCCAACCCACCCCCCACCCCAGCCGCCCCAGACCCTCACACCAGCACCAGAGGGGTCTTTCTCCTGCTTAAAACCCTGCCCGGTCAAGCCCAGGCTCCCAGCACAGCGAAGATCTGCTGCTCAGCAGCCCCCTCCTGGGCGTCGCCTCCTCCCGCCCCCCAGCCTGGCCCGCAGGCTCGCAGCTCCACCGACGTTCCAGGCTCTTCCTCTGGGCAGAGCTCCGCCTCCGGAAGCCACCCAGGCCCGGTCCTGTTGTGCCAGGGCCTCTTTCCACTTCCACGGCACTTGTCACAGTGCACTGTGACCTGGCTGCTTACACACCCACCTCCCAGCACCGCTTTCCTTTCCCTGCGGATTCCGGACAGACTGCAAGTAGCTGCCACCAAACACCTGGCTTTTATAATAATGTCTGTCTCATATCAACATAACCTGGGTAGAATTGTTTCTAAAAGAATAAAGGGAGACTTCTAAGCTAGGTGGTTTCATCAGAGTTCAGGAGAAGAAAACAGAAAGGATATAGATGAATACCTGTAGAGATGATGGAGAATTTTCCAGAATTGTTGATAGATACCAATCCTCAGAATCAGTAAATTCTACAATTCCCAACAGGAGAAAGTAAAAGAAAGCCACACCTAATTCTGCTCAAAATGAAGATTTAACCCTCATATCATTAAATAACACAACTCTGCTTATGACAGTAAAAGGATTTTCAACATCAGACAATATAAAACCACAAACAAACATAACAGAGGAGAGACAACAAAACAAGCCAGGAAGCATGAAAGAGAAGGGGTGGGAAGAGACCGACCTGGCGGATCGGAGACAAACCTAGAGCCAGAAACAGTGAACTGGACACACCACCCGGTTCAACCCCCGCAGCTCTGCAAGCGGAGAAGAGAACCGGGGCGTGACTCCAGGAAAGGGACGGAGCGGAGGGCACCCCCACAGGCAGACCACGGGCGGCCACTGAAGACGCCGTGGGGTCCGCACGGCCTCCCCTGACCCTGGAGGGAGCCTAGGAGCTCACCCGCGGGACAGCCACAGCGTAACCTGGCCCGGGAGGCGGGCAGCGCAGTTGAGTCCTGGCTGCCATGTGGACAACAGGGGGACAGAGGGACCATGTTGATAACAAATGTGTCACCGGAAGTGACGCTCACATTTATGGTCACCTGCTTGAACCAAGGGGCCAAGGCAGCTCCGTGGGGAGAAAGCAGCCCTTTCACTGAATGGTCCTGGGGCAACCAGGTGTTTGTGGGGAACAGGATGAATTTGGACTCTACCTCACACCACACACAAAAAGTAACTCAAAATGGGTTGCAGACCTAAATGCAAGAGCCAAAACTATGAAGCTCTTAGGAGGAAACAAGAAGAAGGCTCAGCTGACCTTGGCAACTCACTGGACGTACAGGATTAAAGCAGAAAGTGACTCTGGCTTCGGCCTGGCTGGCTGAGGAAAGCGGGAGGGGTGCTGACAGGACGTGCGCGTGAGACAGTGCTGCCTGAGGCCCTGTGCCCGGGCAGGCCTGCGGGCTGGGCTGGCCCTGGCTGCCCCCAGACCCCCCCCCGGGGGAGGCTCCCGCTCTTCCCAGCACTCGTATGAGTGGCCGCGGAGCCTAGGCTGTCTGCGCAAACACGAGGAGGCACGGAGCTCCTGCTTTCCTGTGGCGGTGGGTGGGTGGGTCCTGGGGTTTCTGCGTTTCCTGGGCAGAGGCTGCCGACAGGAGCAGCACCCAGCAGAAGCCCCAGGCGCTGGGGCTCCAGTGAGCTCCCCTGGGGGCCCTGCCCCGCACGGTGGTCGCTGGGCGCTGCTGGCGGAATCCGGGTCCCGTGAGGCGCACCAGCAGCGGAGCCCGGCAACCGGGGCCCCCGTCCCTGCAGACTGCGCCCCCCATGCGCCACCTCTAGTGCTGACCTCACCAGCACGAGGACGACGAGCCCCGAGTCCTGTGAGCCCCCCCAGTAAATCAGGGACAGTGGGGGTGGTCCCGGACACCCCCAGCACAGGCACATACAGTGGGAATAAGTCAATTTGCCTTCATAGGATAAAGTCAAAGCAGGTCTTCAAAATTCTGTGGGGCAAACAAGTTTTGGAAGCTTACGTGTGCATGTGGCCTGGGGTTCCCAAACCCAGCAGGGAGAGAGGGTCCCAGGCCCACCCCAGACTTCTGCCAGGGGCCCGGGCCTCTACCTCCCAGGCAGCTGGACTCGCTGACCCGCAGTTTTCAGAGAGCAGAGCCTCCCCAGCTCCGGCCCGGCAGCCGCTCGGGGGCATGAGTCACGCGGTGCAGCCCACACGTGGCCCCACGGCTGTGGCTCACCCACTCCTGGCTGCCGTCCACCCACAAGGCTGCAAGCCTCTGTGCGCCATTGCTCTACGGCCAGGGTATACACAAAACCATTTCTGGAGAAAGATGTTTTTAATATCTTATTAGCTTTAAAATTGTACTAAAATAAAGTGCTTTTTGACAATAACGTGCTTTACAAAGGCAATGTGTTATTAGGCTTAAGAGGCAGGTGCGCATGCCATAAAACACAGCAACGCCTTTGATGTGATGCTTCCAGCAGGAGTCACACTTCCAGACAAGCTCTCCACCTTCCTCTAATTACAAGCCATATAAAGGCCACAAACACATTTAATTTTGGTTTCAGTTTTGTTGATCCTGAAATGCAAACACTGTCTCCATGTCCACAAGAAACAACTTCATCGGGAAGGAAAGACCCCAGGCCCCCACGCCGGGCCGCAGAGCTCCCTGTACTGTGGCCCGGAGCCCTCCCCCGACGCCCCTACCCTTCTTCACGTGTGTGCGGACCCCCAGCACGACGCCTGCCCGGTGCGCTTAGTTCCCCTCCCCTGAAGTTCAGGTCTCGGGAAATCTCACAACTCAAAAGAATCTGCCAGACTCAGTCGTACAAGTCAGTCCGGGTGCTCGTGGCACTGAGTGCACGCGGCCCGGGGCTCCCCTCTCAGCAGGGCAGGAGAGGCCGACGCGGCCTCCAGGTCCTACTCCAGATGCGTCTGGGCCTTTTATCCAAGACTTCCTGGCGCAGGTATGCGGGGCCCCGCCCCCGGGGCCCTGGCCTAGGACTGCACAAGTGTGTCAGATGGCAGGCGAGCACTGGAGGAGAGGCCCTGAGAAAGTGGAGGGTCGGGGAGAATCCACCACCTTGACGCTGCCCACAGTCCTGCTGAGTGGCAGGAGGGTTAGGGCGCTGGAACCGGAGAGAGGGACATATAACCTAGTGTGCCACTTGCCTCTGCAGTGGACAGCGGCAGAATCTAAAATAATAAACACTAGTACATGGTTTAAACCTTACAACCAACCTACAGAGCACAAAAGGCTCAATTACAGCTAGAGAGCAGCACATACATGTTGCCAACCTCGGCAACACAGAAGTACAGCGGGAAGGGCTGGTGGGTGGGGAGATGGGGCGGGGGGTGTGTAGCACCCTCATCTTACAGGGAGGAAGGTCTAGAGATAGGACTTAAAGTTGGCAGAATAGAGAAAGAGAGATTTAAGTATACCATTTAAAGTCTCAATGGTACCTGATAAAGCAACTGAACTAGAACTCAGTAACAGCAAGCTGGAGAGCGGAGAGGCAACATAACTCGGTCAGACTTGGCCAGCTAGGGAGCTCAGGCGCCAGGCCTGGATCTGGACCCCGCACGTCCCAGACCTGTAACCCCCCACCCACTGTGTCCAGCTGTGCCGAGCACCACACTGAGGAAGGAGACTGCATACCTGGTCAGAGTCGGAACCAGAAAAAGGAGCTAATTCTCTAGCTTTAACACTATTTGTTATAGTTACTACTAACGCTTCTGGGAACGACCGTGTTGGAGATTTCCCTGCCTGCTCCTTCCTTCATCGCGCACCAGCACTTCTTCCCGAGAGCCCCTCCGCACACCCTCGCCGCGCCCGGCGTCGGGACTGCCACCAGCGCTACCCCAGGGGGCAAAGGGAGCTCTCTCTCCTGCCCGCCACTATGAGGGCGGCATCAACCCACTGGCCAGGGGTCTTTCACAGCCAGACAGAAAGGTCGAGACACCAGCACTGCAGACACAAAGCCCGTCTGCCTGCTCGCCACAGCCCGCACACCGCGCCCGCCAGCTGCCAGGGCGGGCCCGGCACGGCTCTGCACACCCGGGTGTGGGCCTGTGAGCCGCTCGGTGACTGCCTCTACACAGCTTCATTAAGGGTTTGAAATAGTCAACAGAAGTGATAATTTCTAGTAAAAAACAATTCTTTTTAAAAAATTATTTATTTTTAGAGAGGGAGAAAGGAAGGAGGAAAAGAGGGAGAGAAACATCCATGTGTGGCTGCCTCTCACGCGCCCCCTGCTGGGGACCCGGCCCGCAGCCCAGGCCTGTGCCCCGACTGGGAATGGAACTGGTGACCCTTTGGTCTGCAGGCCGGCGCTCAGTCCACTGAGCCACAGCAGCCAGGGCTATTTTTAAAAATAGAATATAACCGAAACTAATTAGTACTTGTAAAAAGCTTTTTAAAAATTTCCACATAGTTCACCGTTGCTTACCCCATTTTCAGTACGTTTTTCTCCAGGTACATTTATTACATTTCTCTGGGTCCTTTGCTCTTGGGTCTGACGGCCACCTAAGGAAATGAGAGGACCAAACTTACTAAAAGACATACTAAAAAACAGCGTTCGTCCATGTTTTCACTTATTCAAATATTTACCGAACACAAGAATAAAACACCAGGATGAACAACTCAAGACTTCATACAGTTGAAAAATGTTTTACAATTAATCTGTGTACATATATGTAAAAAGTTGTTTAAATAAAATTTTTTCACCTCACATTCTATTTCAGAATCTTGAAATTGACTTACATCAACGGGTTTCTAGCACTTAAAAATGGTCAAACTGGTAAGTTTTATGTACTGCGTATTCTACCAAATGAAGTTTCTTATCACCAATCCTTGAGGGTCTCCTGTGCGGGAACTAAACGGAGCCCAACAGCAGCACGGGGAACGCGGGCGCACAGAGCCGGCCCTCCCCGGCAGGGCGGAGCCCGGCGGGGCACTGCTTCCGTCTGGGCGGTCAGCGGTTCCTTGTCCCGTACAAATTAAAACATTTTTTTAAAAAGGGCTTCATCGTTAAACTGGAAAAATTCTCTGTGTGTCCTGTCCTGTTTTTACACAGATGCACCAGGGGTGCCTGACGTCGCAGGCGCGACTGTCACCAGGCATCCAAACCCTGCGCCCTCCCTTCGCCACCCCCCAGCTTTTACTTGGGGCCGCCTGGAGAACCCGCACACCCACGCCTGCTCTACCGCCTGGAGCGCTGGCTCCCAAGGGCCATGGACCTAGTGTTCGAAAAAGACAGCAAACATTGTTTCTATGTCCCACCTATTACTTTGAAAAATTTGAAGAAAGACTGTAGGATGGGAGTACTGCTCTCCTTTAAACTGCACGCTCTTAAAGAGAGTGAAGGCGCCCCCAAGGGGCGCAGGTCGGTTCTTGGGAGAGAAAGAAAAGAATCGCACTCTGTGTGTGTAAAGTGAAGACGTACACAGCACCTAAACAGATGTACAGTGAGCTGATAACAGAAGCTGAGGGAACAAGAATTTTTTTAAAAAGGGTCCCGGGGGGGGCGGGCGGTGGAGGCGATACTGAAAATAGGCAACCAATCGATGTTTCTCTTGCACATCAGTATTTCACTCCCTCTCTTTCTCCCTCCCATCCCCTCTAAGAATAAATAAGTGAAATCTTTTTTTAAAAAGAATGTGCATAAGCACAGGCAGAGAAGCAGAGGAGAAGGCAGAGCACCCCAGGTCGGGGGGCAGATTCTGAGTCAGTCACGGGAGCGTGACTACGCAAGGAAGGATGTGGTGCAAGAGGGGAAGAAGGGACAGTCACCGCCTCACGCCTGCCAGCGTGGCTGTCATCAATGAATCAACAAGTGCTGGCAACGATGTGGGGAAAGGGACCCTCACACGTTGCTGGTGCGAGTGCGGATCGGGGCACCCACTATGCAGAATGGTACAGAGCTGCCTCGAAAATAAAAAATGGAACTGCCTTAGGGCCCAGGAACGTCCCCTTCTGAGTATTTAGCCAAAGAACCCCAAAACACCAGTCTGAAAGAGAATAAGCACTCCTCCATGCACGGCAGCGCCATCCCAGTAACCGGCGTGTGGAGGCCGCCTCGGTGTCCGTCAGCAGACGAACAGAAAAGAAAATGCGGTGCAAGGACAACGGACTGTCACTCAGCTACACAAACAACGGAACCTTCCCCTCTGCAGCAGCACGGGCGAGCCCAGAGAGTATCATGCTGAGTAAAGTTAGTGAGGTGGAGGAAAACAAACACCATGTGATCTTCCTCACACGTGTAATCGAAAGAAAATAAAGGAACCAACACCCCCCGCTCCCGAAACAGACTCACAGATGCAGAGAACCACCTGAAGGCTGCTAGACGGAAGGGGGTCGTGGCACTGGGCAAAAAAGACGGAGGGGACTAAGTCGCACAAATCACCAGTGACAGAACAGCCACAGCACGGGGAACGCGGCCAATGATGCCGCAGTGACCGCTGTGGCACCAAGGGGTGCGGGATTACCGGGGGACCGCCTCACAAATGACACGCTGTCGCGATGACTCCAGACGGTTCTCTTAAGCATCCCTACACTTCTATACTTTATAAAGTGAGATAAAAAAGACCTTCCCCCACCCCACCACCACAGGACATGAAGGACATAACGATGTGTTAGGTCACACGCCCTACTAATGAAAGTGACAGCGGGACTATTTACACACAGCTAGGGAAGGCAGGGCATGCATATTTGCAGAGCTCAGGCAGGGAGTTCAAATAAATTCTTAGCACAAGAGCAGCACTTTAGGGGTGGCCAGCGAATCCTTGGCAGGAGAGTTTGGTGCAGAGGCAGGGCCCTTGTCAAAGGTGCAAGTGGGTGAAGAGCTGGCCCTGGACACGTGGTCGCCTGCCCCCGGATGGCCAGCGGCCAGCAGACTAACAGCCAGAGGCGGCAGCGCGCTGTACAACACAGCACTGCAGCGGAGTTGTTAGGAAGATGACCTTGGAGCAGGGAGTAACTCGTCCCAGGGGCAAAATGTCCTTTAATATAAAATACAAACAAAGAGGGATAACTTGCATAAAGAAATCTTTTTTACAGAAGGATATCTTTTTGTTTATTTTTAAACATCAGAGGTAATCCACAATCACTGTTAAATAACAAGTTAAGGGTCTCTTCACTGTATAGTGTATATGCTTTCAGGAAAAAAAGATTTCCTTTTTTTTGTTTAAATTTTAATTCAGAAAGAGATAGTATATTCCCATAGTTCAAAAGGCAAGAGGCACGGACAGACGCACGTGAGCCGTTCTCCCTCCCTCCCTCCCTGGTCGGGCAGCCTCCGCCCCACCCCGCTCACAACGGTACCAGCTTCTTCATCTCCAAAGACGCTTCGGCCACGCAGAGCCAATATGGACACACGTGTTCCTTCTGTCCCTGTCACATGGGAGGCAGTGCATGTGCCCTCTGTCTCCCATGGTGCTCTCTCACGCAGCGCGTCCAGGGGATGGCGGGCGCAGGGCCTCCTCAGGGCCGCAGAGCCGTCTGCTGCTGGGCGAGCCACAGTTTTAGCCCAGGCCCCAGGTTCCTGGCGGAGGCTGCGCCTGCCAGGAACACTGCGTGAGGAACACTGTGTCCACGCCAGCTTGTGTGTGTGGGCACAGCTTCAGGGTGCGTTCTCAGAAGCGAGCTTGCTGGGTGAAAGGTTCTGTGCGTTTGTAAGCAGAACAGACGTTACCGACGTGCCCTCTGCGCAAGCTGCCAGCTGACACCCCCACGGCCATGTGGAAGCATGCCTGCTCCCCAGCCTCCTTGCAGACACCGTGTCGTTAAATGCTCTCATCTTTGCCAGTGTGGCAGGTGGGACAGAGTCTCAGCGTTTTCTTTGTTAGGAACAAGGCCGAACATCTTTTCCTATAACCCACAGCCACAGATATTTCCTCCTCTATGAACTGCATGTTTGTATGTGGTTTTTTTTTTCTATTTGTTTTTACTGGTGTGTGTGTGTGTGAGAGAGAGAGAGAGAGATAATTTTTTGGAACCCTTTACAGTGGTACCTTGGTACCCGTTAACTGGTTCCGGAACTTGGGACGAGTGCCGTAACCAATGAGAGAAATGATGAAGCATCTTTCTCTCGTGGGGCAGCGTCATGACTAATGTGAGGTCTATCAGGTGCCATGAATTCCAAGCAAGCACTGAGTACTGAAACTTTTTTTCCTCTCAAAATGCAACAAGTACAGGGTTTGATGAGTTCTGAAGCCAACAAGTACCAAAGTATGACTGTGTAACAGAAATTAGCGCTTTGCTCATGAACTATAAATGCTGTTTCCTAGCTTATAATTTGTCTTTGAAATTGCTTAGGGTGGTTATCACCATGCACAGTTTTATTTTGTTTTTTAACAATTCAGTTTGTCTTGCCTTTTATGGCTTACTGTTGTTACACTTGGAAAGGTCTTGTTCACCATAAAAAAAGTTTTTTTTTAAACATACTTCCCAGAAGTCTTCTAATCCTTTCATGGTTTTATTTATTCTTTTAAAAAATTTTTTAATTTATTGATTTTACAAAGAGAGAGAAACATCAACCTGTTGCTCCACTTGCTGATGTGCTCATTGGCTGACTCCCTTACGTGCCCTGACCGGGGACCCAACCTGCAGCCTTGGTGTATGAGGACGTGGAGCCACCGGCCAGGGCGTGGATGTATTTATTCTTAAAATACAGATATTTGATCCATCTGGCACTGATCAAACCCAACTCCTCTAGAGGGCAGGTGCCCTCCTCACAGGCCTGAGCAGGAAGCGAGGCCTGGGCCCGAGGAGCGGGAGGCCACCGTCAGGAGTGGCAACAGGGGGACACCAGCCCTTCTGCTCACCCCGTGAGTGAAGAGGAAACAGCATCAATAATTTAATGCCTATTTTTTAAAATTAACTTTTACGGCAAAAATGAACAAATGGGGGAAAAGCAGTTATCTACCTTGTTCACTGCTCTCAGCTGGCGAATCCTCATGTCGAAGAAAAAATTTCACCTCCTCCCTCCGCGGCCCCCACTTCTGAAGATGTTCGTACATCATATGGTCGAAGGGTATGGGACGCTCTAGGAAAAAAACACCGCTTATTTCTCTCAGAAACAGACTACTTCCTACCAAAAGTAAACAATAAAAAATTTAAATAAATATACACATTGATTAGAATTCAAGACTGTCACAAGCATGAGTGTTTTACTTCAATGAAATAAAAGCAGGAGTATGAGTCGAAATCATGCAGGTCACAACTGAACACAGGAAGTGAACACAAACGCGGCTTCCAGCGCTCAACAGGCGGCGCTGGCGGAGCCGCCCTTTGCAGCGCCCCTCACACGGAGCCCGCCCACTCTCCCGGCAGACACGCCATCCCGCGGGTCGGCCGCTGCTGCTGCTGCTGCTGCTGGCAACGCTACACGTGCTGCTCGTGCACGCCTCCTGGCAATTCAGTGCATCGACACGAACACTGGAACATGAACGTTCACCGCAGCATCCCTCACAGCAGCCAAAGGCCAGCCCTGATGCCCAGTAACTGACAGATGAAGGAGGAAGACGCGGTGTATCAGACGGTGGCTACTATTCAGCCAAGAGTCAGGAATTAAGTGCTGATAACATGCTTGCAACACGGATGAGGCTTGAAGACATTATTCTAAGTGAAAGGAGCCCGACAAAAGAGGCCCACATTGTATGGTCCCCTTTCTGCGAGGCACCTGCAATATCTAATACATAAAGCCAGACAGTACCACAGTGGCCGCCTGGCTCTGGGGGAGGAGGAACGGGGAGGTACAGAGACTGGTGATGGTTGCACAACACTGCAGATGTCCTAGAAACCACTCAGTTTACACTTTAAAATGGTGATTTTTATGCTAAGTGAATTTTATCTCAAAGGGGGGAAAATGGAAATCTTGGAATACTCCCCCTAATGCTTGTGTTTAAAACCGAGGAAGGAGTCCTTACTGGTGTGGCTCAGTGGGATGGGCATCGTCCTGCAAACCGAAAGGTCCCCAGGAGGATCCCCAGTCAGGGCCCAGGCCTGGGCTGCGGGCCAGGTCCCCAGGAGGGGGTGCATGCGAGGCAACTGATGGATGTTTCTCTCCCTTTCCCTCCCTTCCCTTCCCTGTAAAAATAAATAAAATCTTCTTTAAAATTAAAAAAAGGGAAAAATAAAGTGAGGAAGGGTTATCAGCAAGCCCCGAGGCTTGTAGAAAACAGTCTGGGGAGTGGCAGCACAAAGCTGAGCGGCATCTTTCCTCCCTTCTGCTCAGCCTGAGAACTTGACTTTCATTCGCGAGGAAGAATTTGGTGAGCTTCAGTTCTATCATACATTCAAGATGTCCTAGATACGTTCAAGATTTCCATAAAGAAGAAAACCCTATCGTTCCCAGAAACGTGAGCTCCGTGCTATTGCCCTTTCACCTTTCTGCGTGTGTGGCCAAGTGCGGCCTTACTCAGCTCACTTGAGGGCAAGGACAGAAACGGTCTCACCTCTGTTGGAAATGATAGATGAAACAGGTAAGGAAGGTGTGGTATGTGTATACAATAGAATATTACTTGGCAGTAAAAAGAAAGAAACCCAACTATTCACGACAATATGGATGGGCCTAGAGGCCATTAACACTAAGTGACATAAGTCAGACAGAGAAAGACACCACACGATTCCACGTCCATGTGGGGTCTAAAAAGCAAAACAAAACAGAAATAAACTCTCAGATACAGAGAATAAACTGAGGGCTGCCAGACGGGAGGGGCTCGGGGGCTGGGCGAAGAAGGCAGAGGGGCCGAGGGGCCAGAACGCCAGCTACGCAGTCAGCCGCAGGGCTGTGGCGCGCGGCGCAGGGAGCACAGCCAACGCCGCGGCCGCCCTGTGGGGGCCAGGCGGGCCCGGGACTCCCCGCGGCGGGCCCTCCGTAAGGGACAAAGTGTCCGGTCATCGTGTCGTATGCTGAAAACTAATGTGATGTGGTATGTCACCTACGAGTAAAAGAAATTTAAAAAGCACTCGCTTCAGCAGTACACATACTAACATCGGGACAATGCAGAGAAGATTAGTACGGCCCTGTGCAAAGATAACATTCCAATTCAGGAAGCGTCCCATATTTTTTATTGCATATTTGGAAGTTGCTGAGAGTAGATTTTAAAAGTTCTCATCACAAGAAAAAAAGTCCTGTAACTGTACAGTCATGGACACAAGCTGGACTTACAGTGGCAGTCATTTGGCAATATGTACAAATTTTGAATCATGTTGTAGCGTGAAACCAATGTAATGTTGTCAATTCTACCTCAATTTGAAAAATGTAAAGAAAAAAAAAAAAGCACAAGTAAGACTTCACTGATTATCCCGACGCGCCCTTAGAGGAGTCCGTCTGGAGGCGCCTCTCCTCGCCACCGCACACAGGAGGCGCCGCCCTGGGCCTCTCCTACTTTCCAGCGCGGGCACAGCGCCTCCCACGGCCCGGCCTCTGCCTGCCGCCTGCCTCCCTGCGCCAGTCTCGGGGCACCCTCCCCGCCGCTGCCCTCGCTTAGTCTACCCCATCCCACCGAAAGCCAGCCCTCTGTTAAGAGTCCAAATTACCTGGCAGAATTCTCTGTATTCACTAATCACATTACCCACACTGCCCAGCTACCTGACAAAGTCCTTCCATGCGGCACCAGGATTTACTCTTCCCACTTTAATAAGTAAGTATTTATGGAGGCCTCCTATTTAGAGGGTTTTGTACCCAGGGAAACAATGTTTCCGCCTCCCTGAAGCTGTCATCCGCAAGGGAAGAGTAGGGGGACAAGTGGACTGGTTCCGGCACGACGCTGCGAGGTCTCGGACAGAGGGCGTGCGCGGGGTCCGCAGAGGCACCGAGGGGCCCCGCAGGGCCAGGCCGCCCTGCCCTGCTCATCCCCGACGCTGCGGCAAGGGCCAGCACATGGCGTGCCTTTTTCTGAAGTATTTGTAAAATCCTATCCCCATGTAATAGAACACTAGTTTTTACTTTAATCACTTAGTTCCTTATTACCACAAATAATGAAGAACTAGAACACATCCTGTGCTTTGATGAACGTTGAACTTTATGTCCTCAGCCATCGCCGCAGAGTCTCACACGTACCATTTCCCCTCCACACTTCGGCCAAGTGGCAACCGCCCTCTCCGGGTTCCTTGCAAAATTCCACAACATCTCGACATGTTGTTTCTGGTGTTATAGGAACTTCTGTTAAAATCTGTTCATTGTTGCTCAAGAACACGGTTAATATCATCTGTAAGAGAAAAGATTAAATTAAAGCTGCAACTCGGAGTCACTGTCATAAAGAGATTAATCTATACATTGAAAGTGACTCCCCACCTCCCCATGGCCGCTCCACCCACCTCCGCCCACCCCTCCCCTGCCCCCGCCAAAGCGCCTACAGGACCAGTTTGGGGAAGTGTATGGACTGAGTCTAAAGCTCGTGTCAAAAAATTAGAATGTATAAAAAGTCAGCCAAGTTCCAAAAGACAACAGTAGAAGGGAACGACATTCCGGATATTACACAGCCCCCCAAACAACAGGGCACTGGCACATACGTAGATCGATGGGATGAGGTGTGAAGACCAGACATGGAAAACGGGAAATGACGAAGGAGACTCACTCACTGTACAACAACTGGCGCCTGAGCAACTGAGGCGCCCCCTGCAGCCGATGGACTCGCGCTGCACCTCACACACCAGCACGAGTGCCTAACAGCTGAAATAGTTAACCCTAAGCCATCAAAGTGTTCAAGTTCTAGACTAAAAGGAGGTGAATTCCTTTTTATAACCTTGGAGTGCAGAAGCCCTTTTAAACTATGACTCAAAACACAGACACCATTAAAAAAAATTACATGTTCAGGTAACTAAGCATAAGACTCTTTTACAAAGCAAAGAGAGACAGACGGGGAAAATCTGCAGCTCATGTTACAGATAAAAGGCCGATCTCAAAATAGAAAGGACTCCTAAAATTGTTAACAAAAGACCAAAGTCCAATTTATTTTTAATAAATTGTCTGAGAAAGTAATATATCACAGTAAGAGAATTGCAAATAGCCCTTAAATATAAAAACACATTACAATGTATTTGAAAAAAATAAAAGTTTTCAAGCATTTTTTAATCTTTAAAAAATCCTAACACTCTGACCTGAAGCGGTCATGTTGGAAGAGATTAAATATATATATAACTTTTAAAGTACAATTTAAACCAAAGATTTCCTTTTATCAGACAGCATTATAAAGCATTTCTGTTTAACCTTTGATCAAAATCAGGAATAAAACCCGCATTTGTCCTCTAATTTTTCATCTTAGAATGCTTTTTCTCAGAAGAGCCCTACAGGCCTAAGTTTTGAGATTAAACATCTTTGTATCAACGGTCAGATCTTATTTGACCCACGCGGTCAGTTAGGAACTGTCCCCGCCGCCGTCTACGACCCCCAGCGTTACCAGCTCCTCTCCACACGCGGGCCAAGGGCAGCTGTCCCTCCGGGGTGGCAGAGCTCAGGAGCTCTGGTCTCCAGCTGCGGCCCCCTCCCCGGGACGCCTTTTCCAGGGGTGTGAACACGCAACAGGCGTCTCCGGGAGCACCCAGGGCCCGAGGCCGTCCAGCTCACGGACGCCTTTGCCCTGGACCCGCATGGGTGCGCACGCCCAGCGCACACCCTCTGGGGACGCCCGGCCTGCCGGGCAGACCGCGGAGTCCCCTGCGTCCTCACAGCCCCCACCCTTCCAGTGCACGGGCCTCCCGCACCGGGCCGTGGCCGTGCTCCCTCAGCTCCGACCCCAGTCCCTCAGGCTGTGTCCCTCTGTCTTCCTGGAGGCCTGGGAACCCCTATTCACCCTTCAAAACACAGCTCCTGTGCGGCCACCTTCGCCAAACGTCCCTTCGCCACCTCCTCTCACCAGGGAGGACACCTGTCCCTCCCCTCGTGACCAGGAACCTTCATGTGTCTTTATTGCACCGCAGCATGAACGCGTCCCCCTCCCCACACTAGGCGCCCTGTCCCTTCAGGCAACTCCCTTCTGAGTCCTCCACTCGCCACCGCCCCCTCGTATCTGACGCCTGGCGGACAGACGGAAACCTGGGCGTCTCCAAGAATAACGCAACAATGAGAAACTGACCCTACGCCACAGCACGGAGGGATGCTGCCATGACCCAAGCAAGGTGCCGCCGGTCTGCTCAATAAACAAGCATTTTTCCTTTTTTTTTTTTTTTTTTAGATTTTATTAACGTTATTTTTAGCCACAGGGGAAGGGAGGGAAAAAGAGAGGGAGAGAAACATCCGTGTGTGGTGGCCTCTCACGCGCCCCCTACTGGGGACCTGTTCCCCAACCCAGGCCTGGGCCCTGACCAGGAATTGAACGCGCAACCCTTTGGTTCGCAGGTTGGCACTCAACCCACAGAGCCACACCAGCCGGGGCCCTTCTGTTCTTCTTAGATGTTATAAAACACATTTCTATTTTATAAGAAATTAAAATTATTTCTGCTAACTTAGAAACTTATAAAAACAGCCTAGCTTTCCAAGACCATCAATTCTCCCAAACCACACCTTCTATAGCAAAACCTAGCACCACCATTGCTGACGGCTGCCACAAGGGCACCCCTGCCGCCCCGCGCCCCGCACCCACTGCAGCACCCCACGGTCTGCTCTCCAAATGACAAGCCAGAGAACGTTACACAGCACTCGCTCCTGGAACACCGGGCTCTGGCCGGAAGCGGGCCTTGCGGGCCTCACGTGCTCACTGCCCGCAGCGGGCACACGGCCACCTCTTCTGAACGCTCAGAAAGGCTCCGCGCGTGCCTGCTTGCTCGCAGAAGCAGAGCTCCTCATGACCCGCTGTCAGGATGAACAATGGCGTGACACTATTTGGGGCACTTTTTGAATTAACAAGACTTTCCAGCTCATGAATCAAGTCCAGCATGACGGGGCGGGAGGCGGGGGGGCGAGGAGAAAGAGAACGGCAGGGCTGTGCGTACTGATATTTAGGGTTTGTAACTGACTGATTTTTAGAGACAGAAGAAGGGAGAGGAGAGGGAAAAGGAGAAACAATGACCCATCATTCCACTTACTATTTATATTGGGTTGACCAAAGAGTTTGTTACGTTTTTTCCGCATGATGGCTCTAGGAGCGCTTAGTTGTCTTTAACTGCATTTGGAACAATTTTGTTAGACTGTATTGTGACAGCTGTCATATCAGCATGCATCTGAAAACAACTATCAAAGTGGTGAAATTTTGTGCAGCCATTTTAATAGTGAAGATGGAAGAAAATATGCAACATTTTCAGTGTACTATGCTTTATTATTTCAAGAAAGGTAAAAACGTCACTGAAATGCAAGAAAAGATTTGTACGGTGTATGGAGAAGGTGCTGTGACCGAACGTGTGAAGTTTCTTGGTCCTCTTGCCATTTTGGCCAAGTAACTCTGTGCTGCGGGGCTGCCTCGCGCACTGGAGGGTGTTGAGCAGCGCCCCAGGCCTCCACCCACTGGAAACCAATAGCAGGAGACAGCCGACATACTCACAATATCCAAGTCAGTAGTTATTGGTGGGAATGAAAAAGATGTCTTATTTTATGGAAAAAACAATGTGGGCTTTCTGGCCAGCCCAGTACGGGGGGGGGGGGGGGTTGATCCTCACCCCCGACTGAGGGACCAAGCTGCGACCCAGGGCCCGGGAAGACACTCTAGCTGACTGGGCTCCTGGGCCAGGGCGTGAACGCTGGTTTTTAAAAGCTAAGAACACCCAGAAAACTTATGCAAATGTTAGTAAAACGTTATGTTTTAATTCTATTCTGCAGTCTTTGGTAAACCTGCCCTTCCTGATCTTAGTAAAATTCATTTCCCTCAGTCTCTATTACTCATCCAAGGCCAATTCCATCACAATCAGGGCATATTTAAAAGCTTCCTAGGCAAGCGAGGGCGGCAGGCACTGCCATCTCCCTGAGGCCGTGGAGGCTGGAGGCCACGGCTGCGTCTCAGGTGGGGCTTCCTTGGCCCGGAAGAAACCTGAGGCGCCTCCCACACAAAGACCATACTGCCCTGACTCTAGAAGCACTGTGTTCTGTTTATATTGTAACTTCACTGGAAGCACAATATCTTATAACTGACAGCATGTCACAATTTAATGAGTAGCATCTTCTTTCTTAATAGTACATATAAAATGGAGATGAAACCCAATAGGGTTAAGGATTAAGCGAACTACAGAAAACAACTAAAGGAAAAAAAAAGTTAATGTTTAACCTTCCTAAAATAATACGTTGAAAATAAAAGATTTGGTTAACTGCAGTTAGAAAAACAGGCAGATTCATACCATGTGCTGTAACAAGCATGCCCTGTGTAGGTCTTTCTTCAAACCATTCCCTCGGTCTCCCCGCTCCTCCTCTGCCGCCCCCAATGCCCGCCCCCTTTCAGGGGTGGTCCCCGGGGCCCTGGCTGGGTGGCCGAGTTGGTTAGAGCACAGTCCCAGCACACCAAGGTGGCAGGCAGCTTCCGCCTGAAGTCAGGGCACATATAAGAAACCACCAATGAATGCATGAGTAAGTGGAACAACAAATTGATGTGTGCGTGCCCCTCTCTCAAATCAATAAACAAACAAAAAGAAGTGCTACCCCTCCCTTCTGTCCACCGCCCTGACCCAATCTAGACAGAGTCCTCTGCTCCCCTGTGACAGGTGGCGGCTATTTTTAGTGCGACATCCTCACCCTGAATTATCAGCGGTTCTCACGAGTACATCCTCTAGTGGGAGAGTGTCTGCGACTCCTGGAAGTGAGTTGTGATCTGGTTTTGAAACCAACTAGGAGTGTCTCCAGTTGCACATATTTTTATTTTTTTAGAAAAGCCTGAAACACCCGGAATAACCGTAACACCTCGGAGGGCAGGACATGTGTTCTCTCCCCAGCTCAGCAGTTGAGGGAAATGCTGGACGCACGTGCTCAGGAAAGGAGGGCCGGCAGGAGGCGATGCACGGCCGTATCGGGTCACTTAAGGTCACCTCATCTTTACTTTCAAGAACATCTGAGCTATGAAATAAAATGTATTGGAATCAATCACTAATTTAAATAATCTACATAGAGCCTTTAAAGTGTTTACAAACTTAAAGTATGTTCTTGGTCAAAGGAAATCAAAGCAAAGCACAAATTAGGGATGTATGAACCATTAAAAAGTAGGCCCTGGCTGATATGGCTCAGTGGACTGAGTGCAGGCCTGCGAACCAAGGGGTCGCTGGTTCGATGCCAGGTCAGGGCACAGGCCCGGGT